GATATGTGAATTATCATTTTCTAAAAGGGAGATGGTTGGGCCCTGAATTCTCTCTCTCTATCCATCTATCATGGAACACCTTCCAGACTAGCATTTGTCAACCTCGAGTCTTTGGTAAGGTATGGCATGCAAAAGGTGTGCTGGGCACTGCCCCAGTGAACCAAGATGACTGCCCAAGGCTGAGTTCACTCTTTGACTTTGCAATGACCTGACGGTTCCTAAAGTGGCTGAAAACCTCTTCAACCCTCTGCCTCCTACCCCAGGCCTGTTGACCTATTGTGGCTAAAAACTGAATTTGAAAGATATTAGTGAACACATTTAGAACATATGCAATATATTACTACAGCTGTTCTAATCCACTCATGCCAATATTTTGGAAGAGACATTGGTGGAATCAAGCTTTATAGCCATGTAACCCCGTCTTATGGCTTCAATCCATGCAAAGGAGGATAATTGTGAGCTCAAAAAAGGTTTCCAACTAAAGGGGAAATTTGTACATCAGCAATTAATGAGATGTAATTTTTCTCTTCAGCAAATTTTACTTACTAGCTTCAGTTTGTAGTAGGGAGCAGGAAAAAAACTAAACTTGAATTCATCTCCAAAACTGTTTTGAGCATTTACTTGTTTGCCCAAATGATAGTTTCTACTCTCTACCTCTGATGAAAAATTGCTCTATTATTTTAATGTAATTTCTGAGAATTATCCAGAGGCAAAAAAAAAAAAAGGGCAGAGACTGCTTTTATACCTCCAAGAAAAAAAGAAGGAAAATTCCACCTAGGAGGTGAGGAAGAAGTAATGAATGCAGAGGCATCTGAGCTGGTCCTTGAACAATGAGTAGCAACTTACCAATTAGGGAAAGGCAATGGAGTGGCACTCCAGGATGAGAGCACAGTGCGTGCAAAGGAACAGAGGCATGAAACATCTTAATATTCCAGAGATGGTGGCAACTCTGGTGTAGCTAGAATATAGGTACATGGCATTAAAGGGCAGGCACAGCTGGGGAGGCTTTGGAAGCCTTATTATCAAGGATCCTGGATGCATTCCAATGAATTTGAACTTTATTCGTAGGCTTCTAGTGAAAGTTTCTATAGATGGTATAGTAATCTATAGAAAGATATCCTTAAGGAAAATGGAGAAAATGCACTGGAATATAAGAGACTCATGACCAGAGTGATCAATTACACAACTGTGGTGAAAGCCCAATGGGCTCAGGAAAAGGTAACAAGAAGAAACTGTCCCCACCTTCCTTTAGGAGCTGCTGTCTGGAAGGCCAGGTATGCACACAGTTTTTCATCTGTGATCTTGTTTGGTTTTAGGGATTATTATTTTTCTGAATCGGAGCAATGTCAATGTGTAAAATACCCACACCTACAGCTTCAATTGGACCAGAAGTTATCATAAATCATATTGAGTTTGTTGTGATATCTTCAACTTCAACATATGATGAGTCAGATCAACTCCATGGCAAAGTGCCTTGCTAACCAGGAAGATATTCCTAAAGCTTCCTGGTATGCTGGGTCATGGCACAGATATGAGAAATGGAGAAAGATAAGTTTGGGCCCCACCTGATCACACCTTGTTTGAATAAAGCTGGTTGAGTACAAATACGAGAAGGCCCCTCAGCCAGGTCCATACCTGCCTTCCCCTCTGCTCCATTGCTTTCGTGAAGACAAGATGAAGTTTACAGTGAGTAGATTTTTTCTTTTGAATCTATTACCATATAAGTACAGACTTAACATTCTGAGATAAGGGGGCCTGTTTCTTATGGCAATATCACCATAATGGAAAACTTAGTAAAAAAAAAAAAATCTCTCTTTCCTTTTCATGGAATCATGACATTTATAAGCATCGCTATAGAGAAGGATAATTACCCAGGGATTAGACAGCTGTCTGAGCATCTTCTATCAAACTGTTTTTAAGAAAATTATTTCCTACATGACCTGGTTCAGGTCTCTAGATGGAGGACATAGTCCCTAAGCCCTAGAAAGTGTCCGATCTTTCCCCATTCTTGAATTCCTCCTTTTACTAAAACTCCTGAGCATGTACAGGCAAGATTAAAAAGCTTATTATCAAAACAAGTGGATGAGAAACTTTATGCCACATTCTTTGCTGTGAGATGTATCTCCAAGTAAGAAAAATGTGCCTTGGGCCTTGTCACACCATTTATTCAGAAAAGCATCTGAAGCATGAAGCTAGAGCAGCGTCTCGCCTGTGGTTCCAGACAGAAGCATGAGAATGTAGGAGGTAGACCACAAAATTCTGTGAAAGGAACTGGTAGTACCGTGTTTCTTATAACAGATGCAAAGGGGCTAGAATCAGATGAATATTTTCATGTTTCATCATACAATACATGACTATTACAGCAGACTCTGCTTTATAATGGGGTTGCAAATGTAAAATAATTATCTAGAAATAAGTCCTCTTAATAACAGCAAGGTTAAATAGTGAGTGGAGAGAGCTCCAGACACAGGTCAGATCAGATTTCTCTCCTAGTTCTGCCATGAACAAGAGTTACAACCTTGGTCAAGTCACTCAACCTCTGAAGCTCAATTTCCTCATCTGTAAAAGGATTGCATTGTACTAGATGTTCTCTAAAATTTTTTCAGTTTCTGACTTTTTAGGAGACTAATTTTTAACTCCTTTTAAAGACATCAAGGGAAAAAAAATTTTTTTTATTTACGTTGACTCTCCAGTCAAGTTCTAAAACTATTTTGTCCCGTGCAAAGGAAATGAGACTAGGTACCCAGAATGGGGCACCTGCATAAAGCTCTATGTTCTGAGAACCAGTGTCATGTATCCAGTGACAAATTACTAAACCAAGTATCCTGAGACTCTGTTATTGACTTTCCTTCTGTTAACCACACCTAACAGCCAGACACCCTATCCTTGGTCTCTCATCATCAGCGTACAACCTACCTACTAATCCATCGCTTTAAAAAATTTTTTTAAATAAAAAGAGTACATATGCTATTAGGAAGAAAGCATCCCAGATCAAATAGGAAAATTAACTTAAGTCACTTTCAGATGTGATTTTTAGAACTTACATCATGACTATTTTCATACTATGTATTCTATTCATTTTAAAATGTATTCTTCATCAGTTTTTCATAAGACCCACATTAAAATTCTAAAACTATAAATCACATTAATATAATTACTTAAAATTAATCAACAATTCTATACTATGGGCCGGCCCCGTGGCTCACTGGGGAGAGTGCAGTGCTGGTAGCGCCGAGGCCACGGGTTCGGATCCTATATAGGGGTGGAAGGTGCACTCACTGGCTGAGCATGGTACAGTCAACACCGTGCCAAGGGTTGCGCTCCCTTTACCAGTCAGGAAAAAAAAAATTCTATATTATGATTAACATTTTCTATGGTTAAAAAATACAAGGTTAAAGAACAAGAAAACACAGACCACTTACACATTAGTAAAATCAGTAAATATTTTTCATAAGCTTGGATAGAGGAAGAAAGAAGAGGACATCATTTTGCCTTGTAACAGTAAGCCAGTGTTATTTGTCATTTCAGATTGTCTTTGCTGGACTTCTTGGAGTCTTCCTAGCTCCTGCTATTGCTGACTATGTAAGTCTCACTTTTTAAAGTTTGTTACCAAAATGAATTTGCAAAGAAATGCATTATTAAGTCATTCTCAATTCTTTATAACTTCAGAATATCAATGTCAGCGATGATGACAACAGTGCTGGAAGTGGGCAGCAGACAGTGAGTGTCAACAATGAACACAACGTGGCCAATATTGACAACAACAATGGAGACAACCCCTGGAATTCCATCTGGGATTATGGAAGTGTACGTAGTCAACATGCAATTTCCATTCTTTAAAAATATGGTGTCTGGGCCGAGCCCGTGGCGCACTCAGGAGAGTGCAGCACTGGGAGAGCAGCAGCACTCCCGCTGGGGGTTCGGATCCTATATAGGGATGGCCGGTGCGATGTGCTCACTGGCTGAGTGCAGTGCGGCAGGTCACAAAAAGGACAAAAAAAAAAAAAATATGGTGTCTTTTTTTAAAACAAAAATAAATGTGCAATCTAACCATAAAAATAAAAAATAAAATAAATTCTAACTGCGAACAAGCATATAGTTATAAGTTAAAGTTCCTGTTTTGCTCACCCAATTTCAGTCCCTAGATATTAACTACTGTTAATAAGTGTTGCACAATCAATTAAAATGCAAACAAATGAACAGTTACTAGGATTCATTATGTTCAAGAGGTTGTGGGGATATAAGACAAATATAAATATCCTTTTGCCTTGCCTGCAGATGTCTTCAATAACAATGAAAGATCTATGCAGTACTACTGCTGCCAAAGCATAGCTCATCTCACTCTGTCTTCAATTTCCTTCTAAAGAGAAAGAAATTGACATTTCACCTACAACTCAAAAGGACCAAAGGAATGTAAATGGCAATATTAATTGGCAAGGGAGCAAAGAAAAAGAAAAGAAAAGAAAACCCTTGGCACTAGAGAAGCTCCAACTCTGCAATTACTAGCTCTGTATTTAACAAACTTTGTACTTTTAAAAAAAAACTCATTATTGTTTTAGTTTCATCATCTGATCAATTAAAAAACTAATTCCTGTCTAACCTGCCTCCTTGAAATGTTGTGAGGATCAAAAGAGACTAAAATTAAATAGTTTGTAAAGTTTGTTTCAGTAAAACAGACATGTGTACAGTGACTCTTACCATTCTAGAACCTGAAGATGAAGCAATGAGTTGGATACTCAGTCTCTGCCCTCCAGGAGNATGGTGTCTGGGCCGAGCCCGTGGCGCACTCAGGAGAGTGCAGCACTGGGAGAGCAGCAGCACTCCCGCTGGGGGTTCGGATCCTATATAGGGATGGCCGGTGCGATGTGCTCACTGGCTGAGTGCAGTGCGGCCGACACCAAGCCAAGGGTTACAATCCCCTTACCGGTCACACACACACACACACAAAAAAAAAGTAGATATGAGATTTGAGGCAGAACAGGGATTGTTCAAAGGGAAAAAAAAGCTCTTAGCACAACAAAGATCTTCAAGGATGTTCTGCTAGATTAGATAAGGATATTAAGGTCATTTCTTATCCAGCTTCACTCCCTTTCCTTTGTTTCTCAAGATGCTTTCCAGAGAATGCACCATAGACAATTTTTTTCATTCCTTTGAAAAATGATTAAGTTGTTTCTTCTCTTGTATTTCCTTGTCTTTACAATAAAAGCTGAGGCAAATACCAAGCTCCCGCCGCAGGTTCGGATCCTATATAGGGATGGCCGGTGCGATGTGCTCACTGGCTGAGTGCAGTGCGGCCGACACCAAGCCAAGGGTTACAGGTCACAAAAAGGACAAAAAAAAAAAAAATATGGTGTCTTTTTTTAAAACAAAAATAAATGTGCAATCTAACCATAAAAATAAAAAATAAAATAAATTCTAACTGCGAACAAGCATATAGTTATAAGTTAAAGTTCCTGTTTTGCTCACCCAATTTCAGTCCCTAGATATTAACTACTGTTAATAAGTGTTGCACAATCAATTAAAATGCAAACAAATGAACAGTTACTAGGATTCATTATGTTCAAGAGGTTGTGGGGATATAAGACAAATATAAATATCCTTTTGCCTTGCCTGCAGATGTCTTCAATAACAATGAAAGATCTATGCAGTACTACTGCTGCCAAAGCATAGCTCATCTCACTCTGTCTTCAATTTCCTTCTAAAGAGAAAGAAATTGACATTTCACCTACAACTCAAAAGGACCAAAGGAATGTAAATGGCAATATTAATTGGCAAGGGAGCAAAGAAAAAGAAAAGAAAAGAAAACCCTTGGCACTAGAGAAGCTCCAACTCTGCAATTACTAGCTCTGTATTTAACAAACTTTGTACTTTTAAAAAAAAACTCATTATTGTTTTAGTTTCATCATCTGATCAATTAAAAAACTAATTCCTGTCTAACCTGCCTCCTTGAAATGTTGTGAGGATCAAAAGAGACTAAAATTAAATAGTTTGTAAAGTTTGTTTCAGTAAAACAGACATGTGTACAGTGACTCTTACCATTCTAGAACCTGAAGATGAAGCAATGAGTTGGATACTCAGTCTCTGCCCTCCAGGAGCTTACAGTCTATCCTTACAAATGTTAGCAATAGGTATGACTGCAAAACAGGACCAGATCCAGCGGTCTTACCGCAGCTAATCATGATCTTGGAGTTCCATTTCCTTCTGCTTGTGGAACTGACTTTTAATAAGAAAAGCTTCATGGAAAACCTACATCTCACTCTCTGCCATCTTCTTTAAAAGGGCTTTGCTGCAACCAGACTCTTTCACAAGAAGTCATGCATTGTGTACAAAATGAACAAAGATGCCGTGCCTTCCATTCAAGCTCTGGATGCACTGATCAAGGAAAAGAAGGTAAAAATAAAAGTCTTTTTTATTTTTGGTGAGGGAAGAGGTATTATGAACTTCCAGTAAATAATGAGAAGATCACAGTCATTCCCTCTTGACCATATATGCTGTAGTGTGCAGCACAAAGGAGGAAGAGTAATAGGTAATTGCCCAAGAAGAGGCAGCTTCCACCACATCAAATGCTGTGGCTCACACCTGCCTCTATGGGACTGAGCAGAACACCTGATAACCTCACCTGTTAGAGGAGCAAAGTTCTGCTCACACAAATGCGAGCCCTCAACACTTCTCCAAGGACGTTTTTCTGCAAGGGTTAGTTAGGGTTATCAGAGTTAGCAAATAAAAATAGAGGATACCCAGTTAAGTTTGAAGTTTAGATAAACAAATCTATCTCTCTTTTTTTTTTTAGTATACATATGTCCTATGCAATATTTGGGATATAGTTATACTAGAAAAATTATCTGCTGTTTAACTAAAATTCAAATGTAACTGGGTGTTTTGTATTTTATCTGGAAATCTCGGTTAAGGTGAGTGGGAAGAGGTAATCCATGGTTGTTTAAAATGTTTGCCTGAGATCATATTCCTATAACTGATAATGGGTACATTTTATTGACAAAGTAGAGAAAAATAAATAAGCTGCATTCTCAAAAGCTGATTATTACACAGCCTGATCCAAGGAATCCACGATGACCAAATGAGGTCCAAGTTTCAGAATAAATTTAGCCTCATTCTTCTGTTTTTGTGAGAAGCTGAGGTTTCAAACCAGCTAAATCCTTTGGGACACTTAGAATCGGCTCTTCTTCATCTTGATTATGGAAAAATTATAGCTGAGCAATACCTCCATTGTCCTTGTACTCCCTCAAATCAACAAACCACTGGGCTTCGCATTGTTCTTGTTCTTCCTTCCCACCTGTCTTCTCCACACTCAACTTCAGGGTAAAGGAGCAGGGGAACTATCGCGCAAGGGCCTGATGTACTCCATCAACCCTAGCAAAGTTGATGACTTGAACAAGTTTGGAAATAACATCACTACCATGTGCCGGGGGGTTCCAACATACTTGGCTGAGGAGATAACTGGTAAGTAGCTTCCCTACTATGCACTCTGAGTTAATGCTGGTGGAATTGTCAAACTATTCTTGGGCATGCCCCCAGAGGGCACCAATCATGCCTGGGATGGCCATCAGGTTAACACTGTGTAGGGCTTGCTCTGTGCCAGACCCTGCTCTATGTGTTTAAGCACCCTAACTCATTTGCTCCTCACAGCAATCCTATATGACGGGTTCTACTGTTATTCCCACCTTATGGGTGAGGAAACTGAGGCACAGAGAAAGGTCACAAACCCCTCACCTGCGTCAATCCCGAACCTTTTGGCTCTGGATTCTGTATTCTTAAACATTTATGGAATACTGCCTTTCAAGGATGGATCTATAGTAAACTCAAGGCACAGTCAAAAGAATGAATGAATGGTTCAATGAAAGGAGAATGCCATAGAATCTATTGAATTTCTGTAGCTCCAGCAATCATTTAATTTGTGGGCATTCAAAGAATAGATTACACAAAAACAAAGTGACAACCTAGGAACCTAACCTAATAGCAACTTTCCAGATCTCTAAGTTGATTGATTTCATCTCTCTACATAGATATGGATAGACAGATGTTTGATAGCTTACACAAAAACAAAGTGACAACCTAGGAACCTAACCTAATAGCAACTTTCTAGATCTCTAAGTTGATTGATTTCATCTCTCTACATAGATATGGATAGACAGATGTTTGATAGATACATAGAAATAAAAAACTTGAAGTTAGTGCACAACTAGTTCTGGAACCCCACCACCACCACCACCACCCACCCCCAACACACACCATCACTGAAAAAAAAAGAGTTCTTGAATAGACATTGATATGGGCTTCTTCTTTTCTTTTTATCAGGGGCAAGCCTGTTTTATTACTCAGAAAAGTGCTTCAATACTAACATACTCTGGATTCTGAACATTTCCTTCTGTGGAGAAACAGTGGAAAACTAAAAATAATATAAAAGCCATTATGGATTTAGTCATCAGAACATGCTATGTAGAAAAATATCAGTATGGGTTCTAATGGTTTTTATCAGATCATTCTGAAAATGTTTTCTGCCAGTTATGTTTGGTTTCTTTAAGTTTTAATAAACCCATTTAGCACTGAATTCAGTTTATACTAGCATTTCTTATGGTTTCTATTTGGAAAGCACAGAATCAAAAGTGCAATGTGGTGGTGGCAAGTTGCTGAAGTGCATTAGACTCCACTGTTAGTCCATATCCAAGACCCATACCCCATAAAGAAGCCCTTCAGATGCTTAGACGCTACTAACCACAGCCCTGGGAATGATTCCAAGACCATCTGACTGCTCTGAAGGCTGCTCTATAGGTTGGTGTACACAGTAATGTTTCAGGTCAGCAAGGACAGAAATCCACTCAAAGCAGCCTAAGCCAGAAAGGGGGAGTTATTGCAAGGATATAGGAGTGTCTAAAAAAATCTAAGGGCAAGAAAAGCAGCTGGGTATCAGAGACTGAAACCAGGAGCTCTACTAATACCAAGACTCAAGTCTACTTCTCTCTCTCCCTGAAGCCACATGCTCTCTCTTCTCGGTTTCTCCCTAAATTCTACTTCCCTCTTCTTTCGATCTTGCAGATGGATCTTTCTGTGCTCATGGCAGAAGACGGCTGAACAAAAATGTCAGCCTCATCTCCCATGTTTACATGTCTTTCCAGTTTAGGAGGTAATGTCTAGTGTTGAATCCCAATTTCAATTTTCCTTGACACTGTTTGGTTCAAGAGTCCACGACCTCCATTCATTGATGGCCAGAAGAGTGAAGTGACATGGTACCTTTTCAGCACAGAGGTCTTCACCTAAGGAAAAAGAGCTCAGAGAAAATAAAGACTACAAATATTGTATATTACAATTTAAAACTACAATTCATTTTAAAAGTTGCTCCCACATATCTATTTTAAATCCTGGATGCTGTAAGGTATCTAATTCATTCTTAGGCCTTCAAGTAAAATATCCATAAATAATCCTAACAAATAAAACCAAAAACATTGATTCCCACCATTTGGAAAAATGCCAATATTTACTGGTCCTCATTGAGGGGAAATTACTATAATTTTCTTCATCCGATGCAATTTCATTGCTGTTCACATGAAAGGTACTACCAGATTAGTAGAACGTCCAATATAT